TGCCCCGCCCCCTCCAGCTTCTCCTCAGGCCCCACTGGGCGCCGGCCGGCGCTCGGGGCCAGGCAGATGGGCCCACCGCCCGGGCATCAGCGGCCTGGCAACTGGCCATCCCTGCCCACCTCCATCTCCCCTGGTCTCCCAACAAGCAGCTCAGTCCCAGGACCCAAAACCCGCCGTCAAGAAAGGGTCTGGAGCCTGGGCAAGCCCAGCTGGGCCCTCCCGCTGCGTCTCGCCTGGGGAGCGGGCTCCTCCATCTGTCCCCAAGCCCTGATGTCCCCGTGAAGGAGGGCTGCCCTCCTGCCTCGTTCCAGCTCACACTCTCCAGTGTGAGCTCCGGTCCATGCACCCTCGTCCTCCTGGCTCCCAGAGAGCCGCAGCCCAGGCTCTGCCCGGGGTGGGGGAGCGGCCAGCAGTCGGAGGCGCGTGCAGGCCAGCCTCCCCGACAGTCCCGGAGCTACGGTGGAAGGCCCGGCCTGCCCTCCCTCACACGCTCAGGACCCCGCTGGTGCCCCAGGGGGAGTCCAGCCCTTTGTGGGGGCAGACCCCCCATGCTGAGACTCCTGGCCTCCTACTCTGCCAGCAGGGGTGGGCCCGCTTTTAGGGTGCTGGCGGGAGCCCGCATTCTCCCTTCAGGGGAAAGGGGAGAAGGGGAAGGGAGAAGGGGTGCGCAGTCCCCCAGGGCTTACCTGACGGGGCCCTGGCACCGGCCGTGGCAGCCTGACGGTGAGACAGCGGGCCCGGAGGTCTAGGACACGAGGGTCCCGGTCCCCAGGCTCTGCCGGGCCCGCACTGTCTGGATGGCTTGCTGGTTCTTGAACTTGACCAGGCCCAGGGTGATCTGGGCGTTCCACCCAGGGTCCTCCAGCGGGCAGCGGAAGTCGATCTCGCCGCCACCCTCGGTCACCAGCGTGAAGTAGATGTGGCGCCCCGTGCTCTCCACGCACTCCACCGCCTTGATGCGCGCAAAGCTGAGCTCCTTGGGCCGGCCGCCCGCGCCCTTGGCCTCGAAGAGCTGCAGCCCGCGCTCGGTGAGCACGCAGCGCTTCCGCTTCCACAGCTGCAGCAGCCC